TTTATTCTTGTGTACCTTTTTTATTTTCATTTATTTTATTTTATTTTATTTTATTTTTTTATTAAATTAAAAAAAAAATTTTTTTTTTAATAAATCTAAATTAATTTTTCAACTACGCCAGAAATTAGCTATGCTTCATTTAGACGACCTTAAGATTTTATTAAGGAATTTACCTAATAAAAGGCAAAATTAAAAGAATTTTAATTTCTATATTAAATTCAATTAAAAAACTCTTTTACTTCCTTTCATGCAATCCATTGTTACTTTTTAACAAAATCGAGCAACCCCACAGTAAGAGCATAGAAATAGCTAAAAGATTTATGGCACATGCTTCAGCTTGATGCACAATTGTGCAGACTGAGCGACATTTTTAGTTGCCATTTGGCTTATTGCAGATTCCATCTAGCTTTTGCGTTCCTTTTGCTTTTCTACTCTCATTTCCAGTTCCAAAGAGCAAAAAAGCGATTTGAGCACTGCTATGGCTCTTCATGCAAATTAAATTCCAACTACTGTGCGTGTGTGTGGCTCTGTTGGCATTGGTCTTGGTCAAATATTTTAGCTGGCGAAATGGAAAGTGCTTGCAACTGGCCAACAGCTGCCACCAAAATTGTTGGCTTCTACCCGCAACACCTGTGTCAACACGAATGCAAATCCACAAAAAGTGAAAAGTAACAGAAGAAAACTCAATTCAATTTCGATTGCACAAACTGCGCAATTTTTGATGAGAATCAACTGCGTCGCAGCTTTCGCCAATGAGATCATCAGCAGCGGCAGCAGGGAGAAAAATAATTGAAAAAAAGGCAAAATTTATTACTTAATGCGCATCTGCTTTTGCGTAACAAATTGCGTGTGACAGCAGCCGCAGCATTGAGCACTTTTCACAACCACTCAACTACCACAATCCTGGCTGCTCCCAGCCACAGCAGACGACTCCACCCAACGCCCAACGTCCACCGCCCACCGCCCATCGCCAACCCACCCACATGCTATTAATATCTATTAAACAGCCCTCGATAGCTGCCATACTTCATTAAATGCTTTCATGCAATCATGCTACCTATTTTTTCACAGTGTCTCTCTGTGTGTGTGTGTGTGTGTGTGTGTATGCCTGTGTTGACTCTGATTGGGATTAAGGTTTGGCCAACAG